ACTCGGTACTATAGCTACTTTCATCTTAGTCTAGAGGCCAAGATCTCGTCTACTTCTTATTCGATATCACTAGTTATATTGACTTCTAGCGGAGGCTCTTCTTCTTGACCAGGCAGCGGGTCTGCGGGGTCTCTCCTTAGCTTATCGGATGAGAATACAGGGTGCACTCTTATAGAAGCGGGCAAGTCGAGCTTGTACGAGTGTCCTCTCTTCTCTAGGATCAAGAAGGGGCTAGCTCGTATATTGTCGAGCTTGCGACTAGGACGCTGAGTATTATACTGGGTAATCGTAACGTAGGCCTTGTCGCCTACTTTCTAGTCAACTACTCTTCGCCTAGTATCTTGCGAGTGCTTTATGCGGTCTTAGGCTTGTTCTATATTCTTTTTAGCAATAGCAATTGCCTCGTCTATCCTTCTAGCTAGCACTAGCGCTTTCTCTCGATTTAGCTTGGCGCTAGGAGTATTGTCGCTATCCGGACGAGTATTCTAGTCGAAATGAAGTACGGGAGCGGTGCCGTACAGCACTTCGTGGGGTAATATTCCTATGCTAGTTTGAGGGAGGCATAGCTAAGCGTAGTCTATTATAGGGAGCATATCTGACCAATCGTCCTAGTAGTACGATACAAATGGTGTTAATCTAGCCTGGAGAACTTAATTATAATTCTCTGTTTGGCCGTCTGTTTGTGGGTGGTAGCTAGTCGAAAGTGTGATCTTAGTGCCTATAATACGGCAAAGTTCTTACTAGAACTTAGAGATGAATTGAGGACTACGATCGCTAACGATCTGCAAAGGGCGTCCGTAGTATCGGAAGATATTCGTGAGAAATAAGCGGGCTAGTTGCTTTGCATTAATTGTCTTGTGGTAGGGTATGGAGACAGCTTGCTTACTGAGACGGTCGATGATTACGCAGATACTGTTATAGCCGTGCTTATCAGGAGGGAAAGAGCAGAAGTCTATAGAGAATTGTTGCTAGGGGCGTTCTGGAATCGGCAGAGGTTGTAGTAAGCTAGGAGTCTTGTCTCGAGGGGAGGAGGCTCTAGCACAAGTATAGTAGTTCCGTACGTACTAAGCTACATCACGGAGTATGTGAGGCTAGTAGTACCTTTAACGGAGGATCTGGTACGTTTTGTCTCTTTTAGGGTGGGCTGTAAGCATCTAGTTGTAAGCTTCTCGAATCAGGTGCACTCGTAGATAGTCTTAATCAGGTACAACTAGCCTATCTTAGTACAAAAGCAATCCATGCTTTAGCGAAAAGTCCTCATCATCCGGACGTTTAGCTTGTAGCCTGAGGGCAGCTAGCGTTCCTGCTTCCCGGTTGGCTTGCAA